GCGCGCTTGTTGAATCCCAATATTTACCAAGACGATCCACCGTCTCACGCTACTTCCTTGCAAGGCACCCCTTGTCCCAAGGCTTTCACTCGATCAGATCCGAATTGCATAATCTTGTCCAAAACCTTTAAATGCCTTAACGATATTGAAGGAAAACTCCAGCTCAGTTTTCTTATTTTAGACCCTCAAAGAACTCAACCTATTTTACAGTAGAAACAACCTAAATTAAACGTTATCAACTCTAAACTAGATGGTCACTCGATCAAAAAATGATTATGGGTAGTTTGATTGTGTGTATGCATAGTAAAGAGGTTGAAAATGATGTGTATGCTTTGAAATCTCGATTTCGTATAGGTTTGCTCTAAAACCTTACTAGAAATGATGCACATATCAAGTATTTATATGTATGCAAGTATCAAACAAAAGGAATGAAAAAGGAATAGAAAATAATGCAAAAAATTAAGATTTATGGTACATAGGTCGACCTATCAAAGTCATGTGTCGACCTATCAAGGTCATGTGTCGATATATAGGAGTCAACATATGGACAGAGCCTACAGACTTTAATACTACAACATGTGTGTCGACCTGAAGGATGGATGTGTCAACCTATAGAAGAAATTTTTCTTTTATGTGTCGACCTATAAGCTATTTTTCACACCCAAAACCATGTTTTTGATGTATGAAACTTTTTCTTGATGCTTGAATCTTTTCTAAACATGTTGACATGCTTTCTAATGCTAAAATGCACAAATAGACTCATATGATACTGATCAATTTACATAAACACTAAATTATCCTAGTTTTGACATCATACAAAATACATCTAACAGAAAGTTGCACTCATAAAAGAGAAGACTTCAGAGAATCCTTGATCCTCCTTCTGACTACGAGTCAAATGCTAATGAATTCCCCTTTAAATAGTCAAACTTCCTCGGCCGCCATGCTTATTTTCTAGAGGAATTTGGAGAAGATTAGGCAATGTAATTTGTTTTGATCCATGAGTTGTACATAGAGATTAAATTGAAGGAATTGAGGAAAACCTCTTTCATTTTTCAAAATAAGTGGTAGCTTTTAAGCAACTTTTCGTTAGGTGTATCAATGGAGAAGAAAAAAGCCTCTCTTTGAAGAACTAAACTTTTAGGCACCATTTGACTCAAACCAAACTGCTTGGCTGCCAAGTTTGGCTGGTAAGGAGCTGCCATTAGTCCCCTTTAGATGAGGTAAGCCTTGTCTACGGAGCTGTGGGACTGAAGCATGCGAGCAGAGTAGCATGCATATCCTTATCTTCTTGTCAATAAGGACTGTGAAATGGTTTCCTGAATCATTCAAGGCCACACTGTTGATTAGAAAATGGTGCCATAGTCAAAGTAAATGTCTTGCACATATAGAACATTTAGAAGCAACTCTCGAAGACCTCCAAAGACACATCTTTTCCATTGTCAGGAGTAAGTTGGGAAAACTATGGACCTTCAACTCCCACCTATGAGTTAGAAGGGTGTATGGTTTTGAGAGAAGGCTTGAAAGAGGCATTGAGCCACAATTGCAGAAGATAGATAGGGCCACTTATCTGAAGGCTATCAAGATTCTTCGTTTTCTTCAAGTCTTGGGAGGCCAACCCTAGAGATTCATATAGGCCATAAAGAATTATCCTGATGAGGCAAATTTTTCTCCCTTCATGAAGTTATGTGGCTAAAAGGACATACTTCTTTGTCACCTGAACATATCAAGCAAAAAAATGTACCTGGAAAGCCAGTAGGTCAGGAAAGCAATATGTTCTTAAGCATCTACTTAATCTGTCGAAGCCTTGTGATCTTCGATAAAGGAGTTATAAGTGGTTCTGTTGAAGGTAAACCCAATATTTATTTTGTCTTGGTTGATGGATCAAATCCCTCTCCAGGTGATCGAAGGCCAACAATAGCAACAATGTCGAAGAGTGTAGGAGTTAACCTCTCACAAGGAAGGCGAAACATGTTGGTCGAGGTATCCTAGAAGCACATGGCTGCAATGGGCATGTGAGATTTGTATTTGGGACTAAATCATGATAGTTGGATTAGATCAAAGATGCCTAAATCCCTCAAAATATTTCTTTTTTTTTAGACTCTATCCAACCATTTCATGTAACCAGCATCCTCAATCGGAGGAGAAGAACAGAAGACCCTATTCTTAAAGAAGTTAAAATCAAAGGGGGCATCTAGGAACACCAAGGGTTCATAAGCAGGGTAGTTAAGGAATAAATCTTTTAGTATTTGGGTTTTCTTAATGTGCCTAGGGATAGGACCTGTGAACGTATGAGTGGTACTTGCAACAGAGTAAGGGATCAAAGAAGCAAAATATCATATGTTTCGTCTTCCATCCTCCATGGGAGGTTTAGGAATGTAGGTGCGGTTGTTCAAGAAGAGTGGTTCATCAATGACAATAGCAAAAAAAGTATGTGACTGAACTTTGGGAGCCATTGTTAATTTCAAAGGTTTTATAAGAAGAGGCGTAATGGAAAAGAAGAAAAAAAAATAGAAAAACTCTCTCAAAGTTTCTTTTTTCTACTTGCATTTCAGAAAGATGGAAAATGGTGAAATAGAATAGGGTACTGAGGGAGAACATGTTAAGTACCCAAAGGAGGAAGGCAATCATTTTTTTTTCTCTAATTGATTTTAAACATGTGGCGCACTCAAGTCGACAATTGACGCTAAAAGGCCATCTGAAAAGATGAAAAATGGAATTAAAAGAGTTTTGTCTTTTTTAATTAATCTCCTAGGAAATAGGGAGCGATCATGATCATCGCACGTACATCTGTGACATATGAATTTTTGGTGTAAAGTGGCCATAATGACCAAAGAATAATAATTAAATAGTAAGGCATTTCGTTGATGTGGCGTCTGTAGACTAGGCAAACAATGTTGAAGAGTTACAAAAATGTGACATTTCTTCCATCTCACCATATGATCGAAAATGAATTTTTTTTTTTGGAGGGGGGAGGGGACATCTGTTAGCTTGGAATTTCTACTTTAGAAAAAGCCAATTGAATTCTGCATTGGGGCATCTATTAGCATTGATTGACATAAGCCGACAAGAATGGGTATGTCGATTGGAGTGTTCCGACTAGCATCTTGAACCATGGTTTGGAAGAATCTCAAGAGAAGATATTGAGATATGGTTTGGAGGAGTCTTAGGAACAAATCTTATTGATCACTCAACACCATGTCGAGGTAAAAGCATTCGACGAACTCCAAAGACTTAGAGGAATGAGGAAACCAAAAACTAAATAAAGGACTTAGCACTATTAGTAACCATCTTCGATGAGTATGCAGTTATCAGTCACTAAAAGCAATTACGAACGTGTGATAATGGTTTCTCAGCAGTTTTTAAGTACTGACGCAGTGACAGTGCATTAGAAGATTAAGTTGCATGTCTTTGAAGACATGTCGATTCTCTAGGAGTAAACTATCGGAGACGATTATCCTTAGTTTAGTATATATAGCAGTTTCATATTTTGTAATCAAGGTTACAAAATTCGTATACTTTCTCTATAGAACTGGAATCCCCCAGCCATAGTGCAAAACTGTTTGTGAGTAACATGTGAGTCTGCGTCTCTTTTGTTTTATTATCTTTATGTTTACTTAACTGAAACATATTTTCTTTCTGTTGTTTACTACATTTATTTAATGTTGTTTATTGCAAAGTTTTTTTTACTTTAATTCAAGTTTTTTTTTGTCTTTAAAATCTGTCTTTATCCTTTCTGCACACTGATGTTTGTAGTCACTTCATATATATATTTTTTTGTAAATATATTTGCACAAAACTCTTCCCGAAATTTTTCGAATTAATTTCATAAACTTTTAAACTCGTAATTATTCGCTAAAAATACATGCGAACTCATTGTGATATGGTCCAAGACTCAACTTTAAATGTGTGCATGGGTGGAGTATTTCATTAATTTCTTTTCCAAGCTTTTTGGTTAATTTTTAACTTCTACGTGCACTGCTTTTTTTCTTTTTGTTAGGTATTTCACCTTTCACATAATGGAATCTCATTTGTAATGAATATGATCTGTTACTCAGAGTGAAATACACATGATTACTCTTGTTTCGAGCGTATGAATTTTATCCATTTTCTTTATATTTTCTTTTCTCTTGTTTTTTTTAAAGTGCATTAGCAAATGCAGTAGTCCATATAGCTAAATTTTCTAATAACTTTTCCTCCCTAAACCTTATTTTAAACCTTATCTAGAGCAATATTTTCTGGATACAATATCTTGGAGCAATGTTATTCTATATATGGCAATTCGACTTAATTAATATGCTAAATTTCTTTTTCATTTCTTACTAGCCAAATTTCAGATGTGCATCACTCTTAAAATTTTCTATATACAATATGAGTCTTAGTTCCAATATTTATCAATATTTATCCACATTATTTTTGAAAATTTTGAAAATTTCCAATAATTGTGCTAATAATAGAATAATTGATTATTTATACTTTTCTATATAAATGTGATATCCTTATCCTCCGACTGTAATCAATTTAATTTTAATAATTCAACGAATGATAAATACATTCAATTTATGATTATCTTGTTAGTACACATATAGTGAATACTTTTGTAGTAAATATTAATTTATTGAATAATTACAATTTATTTATAAAAAAATTAATTTTTTAACTTATATTTTCTCTTACCCTAGTTAGAAATAGATTATACTCGAAACTGTTATTGATACAGTATCTGCTGAATTTCGTAATAGTTTGATGAGTAAGTGTGAAGGCAAAATCAGTTTCCAAAATAATTGGGGCCATGCCACATTAAATAAAGTTCACCATTCACCAACGCGTTCCCAATTGCCATTACCGATTCACACTCAAAAGTCCAAAGTCCATTCCCACTCTCACTCTTCACTATTTCTTCGCCCATTTCGTCTCCTATATATACTCCTTCATTATTTCCCCAATTTGTGAAATTATTCACTACTCTTATTTTTTCTCTCTTTCATTCGCCGTCTCCAATGGCGTTTAGAACCATGGTTGTTCCGATATTTGCTTTGATAACGGTATTGTTAGAGATTCAGATAGGCTTATCGGCGGAGATTAGCCGTGCTGATTTTCCACATGGATTTACTTTTGGCACCGCTTCTTCTGCTTTTCAGGTTAGTTGCACGGTTTCAAGTTTCAGATCATCAAAAACTCACTCTCGATTATTTTTTATTTTTTCTGAAAGTAAGGATAGTAAAGTAAATTGAACTATTATAAATCAATTTTTTGAAGGAATGTTTCTCTTTACGATGAGTGGTGCTGAGATTGAAAAACCATGTACTGTATTTATTTCTTTATTTCACACCTGAAGAAACTATTAAATTGCAACGACAGAGCGAATATAGTAAACGACAAAGAACGAAATGATTCATTACGCTGCATTACCTACTGGTTGGTTCTACTAACCAACTGAATTTGTTGTTTATCTTTGTTTTTTTTCTTATTAATTAACTTTGTTAATTGATAATAATACAATTGTCGTTTGTTTATAAATGGATTTTTTTATTGAATTTTATTTTTGAGTCATGTCATAATAACATATAGTATTAAAGTTTTAAAAAATATTATTTATTTATTTTGAGTTTAAACATCTAATTTTTTAATATATAGTCTTAAAGACACGTGTTAGTATTTTAGAATGTTAAATATTTTCCAAAGAAATATTGACAAATTGTTTGTTATTTTAGAATGTCATTTATATTAATGATAAATGAATCTCTTTTAGTTATGTGTGTCATTAAGAAATTAAAAAATGTTTTATTAAAAATGAAGTAGTTTTTTTTATTGGCTAGGGATACTAATTATATCCACATTAAATTAATTTAAAAATAAATAATTATTTTGATTAGTATTTAAAGAAAATATTATTTTAATAGAACATGGGAAAGAAATATAATTTGTAGTGTTTATACTTTCTCAAGAAATATAATTTTCACATGAAATTACTTGATGGTAACTTTTAATTAATAGAAATATTATTTTCATGTGATTGAAAAATCATATTTTAACATGCATAGTTTTTCAACTTAAATACTGTTTAACCATAATAATTTTAAATTAGACAATTTTAGGACAAAATTGATTGTAGCTTTTTTGATTAAATAAATGATTTTCTATCTATTGTTTGAATCAGTGATAGCAATTATTCACTCAAATTGATTTAACTTGTGTCCACCGTGTAGTATGAAGGAGCTGTGAAAGAAGATGGAAGGGGACCATCTGTGTGGGATACCTTTTCTCATACTTTTGGTAAAGACACGCTTATTCACTGTCTTATTTATTGCATACTTCATTTCTATGGGTATCTCATGCATGGTTCTTGTAAAATGCTACAATGCTGGCTTTTCATTGCCTCACATTTGTAATTTGTTACAGGCAAGATAACAGATTTCAGCAATGCTGATGTTGCAGTCGATCACTACCACCGATTCGAAGTAAGTCACTATCAAAGACACCTCAGTCTGTGTCTTGTTAATGACTTTAGTATGTCTTTTAGTGCAAGTTGGGATTCCTTTTAGAACATAAGTGATTCCAAAGACTTAAAATTTATTTATTTATTAATATGACTTTAATATGTCTTTGATCCCAGGCATGTCCGATGTTCGACGCTGACACATGTGTTTAAATTCAATATATTTTAAAATTGTTACCGGTGTTGACATGTCGGTGTTGTGTTTAGTGTTCATGTCTGTGTCAATGCTATGAGACGTAGACTAATGATCCAAGATCAACAAGACACCAAGTACCTCACCTTCATCCAAATCTTAACCACTTACCAGTCCAACTCATCTTATACATGATAATGTCACATAGTTAGTTAATTAACGGGTTTTTGTGTCTTACATTCAGTTAGACAATTAGGCTTTCTTTACTGAATTAAACTAAATTGTAATACACAATTTGAAACTATTGATTTAACCATAGGTCAAAGGATGTTTGTTTTTGAACATTGAATTTTTCGCTGTATACAGGAAGACATACAACTCATGAAGGACTTGGGGATGGATGCCTATAGGTTTTCCATTTCTTGGACTCGGATTTTCCCCAGTAAGCAATTTTCATACTCAACGTTAACTTCAAAATTAGTACATGGCCAAATTCTTTGTAATGGTGTTTCAGTTATTCATATCTATTATCTGAAGCCATAAATATTTCATTTGTTAGATGGATCTGGCGCGATCAATCAGGCAGGAATTGATCATTATAATAAATTCATCAATGCATTACTAGCAAAAGGTAGCTCTCATTATCTATCTGTAACTATTTCATTTGATCAATTCTGTATTTTACCTTTGAACTTAAAAAAGTTTAATCTATGTATAAATGCATGTTTCTGATTGCTTGATCTATTACATTTGTAGGAATTGAACCATATGTGACACTCTATCACTGGGACCTACCTCTAGCCTTGGATGACAAGTATAAGGGATGGCTCAGTACTGAGATCATGTACAAAAAATGCTACAAATTATTTTAGACATGATTTTTCAGTATTCTTATGACACATGATGTGGAAAAAAAATACTTAAATGATTCATCTTATGTGTACTGCAGAAAGGACTTTGCAGCTTATGCTGAGACATGCTTTCAGAAATTCGGAGACAGGGTGAAGCACTGGATCACATTTAATGAGCCACATACATTTACCACGCAAGGATATGATGTTGGTTTACAAGCGCCCGGACGGTGCTCTATTCTCTTTCATTTGTTTTGTAAAGCAGGAAATTCGTCTACTGAACCTTACATTGTTGCTCACAATGTCCTACTTACTCATGCAACAGTAGCAGATATTTATAAGAAAAAGTATAAGGTAAAAAGTTACGGATTTTTCTAATACTTAAATTCAGATAGAAATGAATTTTACTGTAGTGGTTATAAAGTTTCCAGCCTGTTAAAAATACAATAGAATGAATCATAAGTCCAACTAGGAAGAACCTTTCTGAAAAATTCAACTTGAAATACACAGAAAATTGTTGATTATTTGCCACTTGGGATATAAGCTGCTACTTATAACTCGTTTATTCGACAGAGTATACAAGGTGGATCGCTTGGAGTAGCTTTTGATGTCATTTGGTATGAGCCTGCCTCAAACACTAAAGAAGACATTGAAGCAGCTCAGAGAGCTCAAGATTTTCAGCTAGGCTGGTAAGTTATCATTCACATAGTACATCATAGATTGAAAATCATTGATATAAAGACTAATTACCTTTTGCTTACATTTGAAATTAAAGCTTAAGAAAGTGATAATAACTTAATCTGATTGTTAAATGTGTTAATGATAGGTTTCTTGATCCTTTGATGTTTGGAGATTATCCAAGTTCAATGAGAAGCCGAGTAGGAAACAGGCTGCCAAAATTTTCTCCATCTGAGACTGCTCTTGTTAAGGGCTCACTAGATTTTGTTGGAATCAACCATTACACCACATTTTTTGCAAGAAACAATTCTACTAATATAATTGGAACTTTGCTCAATGACGCTATTGCAGACTCTGGTACCATTACACTTCGTAAGTTTCAGACCAAACATTATAAAAAAAAATCATATACTTTGTCAAAGTGCTTTATAATTTTTCTGTTTTTGCATTGCCACTAAGATGTCACTTCCCTTCCCTTTTCTTTTTCAGCATTCAACGGCACTAAAGTTATTGCAGAAAGGGTAAGTTCTATGATATACCTCAATTGAAATTCAGTTAATGGCGCAGTTTTACTAATCTATATAAATTTTGAATTGCAGGCAAATTCGATATGGTTATATATTGTGCCACAAAGTATGAGAACCTTAATGAACTACGTCAAACAAAAGTATGGGAACCCTCCCGTCTTTATCACCGAAAGTGGTAATCTTCAAACTCTTATAATATCGCAAAACTCTAGCTTCCATGATTTCAAAATGAAACAGTGGAAGCATGGAAAACAGAAGAGAACTTGCTAGCTAAATCTTGTTGCACATGATTTTCACAGGAATGGATGATCCGAATAGTATATTTATCTCCCTTAAAGATGCTTTGAAAGACGAGAAACGGATTCGATATTATAGCGGCTATTTATCTTATCTACATACAGCTATCAAGTATGTAACAGTTATTATTTTTAGTACATTACAGTCCTTGACCAATTTTTGAAGTCAATTAATGAAGTATTGATTTGTCTAATTGCAGAGATGATGGTTGCAATGTGAAAGGATATTTTGCTTGGTCATTGCTGGATAATTGGGAGTGGGTAGCTGGATATTCTTCAAGATTTGGTCTCTATTTTGTTGACTACAGAGACAACTTGAAGAGATACCCTAAACAATCTGTTCAATGGTTTCAGAACTTTCTGAAACCAAAACCAGCTAAATAGTTGTACATATATAAGACTGTATTTTCATTAGTAGTGTTTTTATGTTCATTTGGTTTGAAGTGAGGTGAGTTAATTTGATTATAAGATGTTAGAGATGGAACACCTTATATATTGATAAAATTTATTTTATTTCAGATTAATTTAAGGCAAAGTTACTTCTTCATACTTGCCTTGGACACTTTTTTTCTTCTTATATATAGTTAGACCATAGTTAAAGTTCATGATATGGTTTTCCGAGAAAACAGAACCGAACTAAATCATAGTTAAAATTCACTCGAATTGAACTGAACTTTTTCAATTTAGTCCTAATCAAACCAAACTAAAATTATTGATTTGATACACCGTTCAACTTTATGGAATAGTTAGAAAACAATTTTGGTAATTGCTGCAAGACCAGTTGGGGTTCAATTGTTTTCGTTTTCACATCGACGAACTAAGCTTCAATCCTCTTCTACATATCATCATTCTTATCACAACTTCAATCTTATTACTTCCCAAATTCAAAGGAGATAATGATTGGAAGCTTCAACTCAAGTGTGATCATTCAAGGGAAAGAATTTCTCCAAAATGTGGACATGAGTTAGGGATGAAAATGCTAGTGTCAAAATCAAATCTAGAAAGAAGATATTGGAAATGAAAGTTTTAGGAGCTAGTTTGATACTTGATTTTTCATGTTCGATTGTTTTTTGAATTTATATCCCTTTATTTGATTTTGGTTTTTTTATTTTTTATTTTTTATAAAGATGAAGATAATGAAACGTTTTTATTGTGATGATGAATTGTTTAGTGAAAAAATTTAAGGAGCATCAATTTCATCAAAAGTTGATGGTGTTATTGGTGTGAAATGATGAAAGGTTACTTGAAGCAATTTGGAGCTAAATTCGGTAAAGAGTTCGAAAAAGAGTTTCGGAAAGAAATAAATTTAAAAAGGATTGAGAAATTAAAGAAGAAGGTAGAGAGTTACTTGAAGAAGATTAATTTACTCATATTGTTCTTATTTTTTCTTTCTAAACGCAATATATTAAACTGAGAAAGAATACAAGGAGTATTTGACCCTACAAAAGTGTTTTAGTTCACTCTGATGTTTGGGGTCCCTCACGTACCGTGTTTACTTTTGAGTCTAGCTATTTTGTAACCTTTATTGATGATTTTTCACGTTGTACATGACTATTTTTAATGAAGAACAAGTCTGAATTGTTTTCTATTTTTGAACAATTTTATCGAGAAATAAGAACCCAATTTGGTTTATCTATTCATACCCTAAGAAGTGACATTGCACGTGAATATTTATCCCAACAATTTCAAACATTTATGTCATCCAATGGTATTTTGCACCAAACATCTTGCCCTCATACACCCCAACAAAACGGGATAGCCGAACGCAAAAATCGGCACCTCGTAGAAACCACTCGGGCACTACTTCTCTATGGTAATGTTCCTCTCCGGTTTTGGGGAGATGCGGTGCTCACGACATGTTACCTCATAAATCGCATGCCCTTATTTGTCTTTAATAATAAAATCTGTCATTCAATCATGTTTCCAAACTCTCCACTCCACCCAATTCCTCCTCGAGTCTTCGGGTCAACGTGTTTTGTACACAATCTCTCCCATGGTCTTGATAGACTATTAGCTCGATCACTAAAGTGTGTCTTTCTTGGCTATCATCGATCCCAAAAAGGTTACCGTTGTTACTCACATACTCTACAACGATACCTCGTATCTGCCGATGTTACCTTCTTCGAGTTTGTTCCATATTTCGAATACAGCCAAGTAACTACGGAACCTCTACGGGAAAGTATTCCCACACCTCTTCCAGAAGTCCCATCTGTCATTATCCTCCATCATTCTAGGGAACCTGACCCACTGACCCCTACGGTTGACCCCTCCACTCCTCGCCCACTTCAAACATATCAGCGTCGTCACCCAAAGTCTGTCGTACATGTCCCTGAAGTCATACCTGTTCCTGAAGTCGTACCTGTCCCTGAGGTCACTACGGACTCTCCTCCGACGCTCTCGCCATCACCGGATTCGATCCTGCAACCTGAGTCTGATCTTCCGATTGTCCTTCGAAAAGGTATACGTAAAACATGAAATCCTTCTCCACGTTATATTGATTTATGTTATCATCGTCTTTCCCCTTTGCAGTATACTTGTTTGTCTTCTTTTTCTTCTGTTTCTATTCCTAAAACTCCAGGTGAAGCATTATCTCACCATGAGTGGAGGCAAACAATGATTGATGAAATATGTGCTCTTCAAAGCAGTGGTACCTGGGAACTGGTTCCTCTACCCCATGGAAAATATTTAGTAGGTTGTCGTTGGCTTTATACAGTGAAGGTTGGTCCAAATGGCAAGATTGATCGATTTAAAGCTCGCTTGGTAGCTAAAGGATACACTCAAATTTTTGGGTTGGATTATGGTGATACCTTTTCTCCTGTAGCCAAGATGGCATCTGTTAGACTTCTTCTAGCCATTGCAGCCATTCGACATTGGTCTCTTCATCAACTTGACATCAAAAATGCATTCTTACATGGCGATCTAGAAGAGGAAGTATATATGGAGCAACCACCTGGGTTTGTTGCTCAGGGGGAGTCATAGAATATGGTTTGTAGGCTACATAGGTCTCTTTATGGTCTTAAGAAATCTCCGAGAGCTTGGTTTGGCAGATTCAACACTATAGTGCAACAGTTTGGTATGATCCGTAGTGAAGCTGACCATTTTGTTTTTTATCGTCACTCACCCCAAGGGTGTATTTATCTTATTGTGTATGTAGATGACATTGTCATAACTGATAGTGATCAGCAGGGAATACTCCAGTTGAAATAACATCTCTCGAAAAAAATTTAGACAAAAGATCTTGGTAAACTCTGTTATTTCTTGGGTATTGAAGTAGCCCAATCTAAAGATGGTTTGGTGATTTCTCAGCGGAAATATGCTATGGATATTTTGGAAGAAACAGGTTTGTTAAATGCTAAACCAGCCGATACTCCTCTGGACCCAAGTGTTAAACTACTACCCAATCAGGGGGAGCCTCTATCTGACTCGAGAAGGTATAGAAGATTGGTTGGAAAGTTGAATTATCTCACAGTCACTCGTCCGGACATTTCTTTTGAAGTTAGTGTGGTAAGCCAGTTCTTAAATTCCCCTTGCCAGGAACACATGGATGCTGTTATTCGGATTTTGAGATACATAAAATGTGCTCCAAGAAAAGGTCTTGTGTATGAGGATAAAAGACATACCCAGATAATTGGATACTCTGATGCTGATTGGGCAGGGTCACCCATTGATAGACAATCCACCTCTGGGTATTGTGTACTTGTTGGAGGAAACCTTATATCTTGGAAAAGTAAGAAACAAAATGTAGTTGCAAGATCAAGCGCTGAGGCAGAGTATAGGGCCATGGCAATGGCAACATGTGAACTTATTTGGTTAAAACTGTTGCTCAAGGAACTTCAAATTGAAGAAGCAAGACCAATGACACTTATTTGTGATAATCAAGCTGCATTGCACATTGCTTCAAATCCATTCTTCCATGAGAGGACCAAACATATTGAGATAGACTGTCACTTTGTCAGAAAAAAGATCAAGTTAGGCGACACCGTCACAAGCTTTGTCAACTCTAATGATCAATTGGCAGATGTGTTTACAAAATCCCTACGAAGCCCCAGAACTAACTATATATGTAACAAGCTTGGTGCATTTGACTTATATGCTCAAGCTTGAGGGGGTGTTGATATTTGTAAATATATATATATATATATATATATATATATATATATATATATATATATATATATATATATATATATATATATATATATATATATATATATATATATATATATATATATATATATATATATATATATATATATATATATATATATATATATATATATATATATATATATATATATATATATATATATATATATATATATATATATATATATATATATATATATATATATATATATATATATATATAGTGTTAAGAATATTTGTATATAGAATAGTCCCACATCGACTATATCATGTAATTAGTTGTAATCTATTTATATATAATAATGTCTCCGTAGTGCTTTTCAAAGACACACGGTTTATTCATGTCTCTTAGTCTCTTGTATTTCAACAGGTTTTGTAGGGTTGAGTTAGACCCAACCACATTTCTTAACATGGTATTAGAGCCTCGTTTAAGATCCGGTGGGCCACCTTCTATGGTTTCCGCTATCGGGCCACCCACCATTTATTTCCATGCTTCAGTTGTCTAGTCCTGAGCGTGAGGGGGCGTGTTAAGAGTCCCACATCGGATAATATATGGCATGAACATGTGTTTATAAGTGGGGGTAATTCTCACTCTACCAAACGGTTTTGTAGGATTGAGTTAGGCCCAACCACATTTCTTAACACTTTTAATGCCCAAGCCTCCCATCTCTTTAGCTTTACACATAGTCTGCCAATCCAGCCAGTATTTGCTTGATTTGAGACCCGTGCTTCCCCAAAGGAAATCCCTCATGATCCTGTCAACTGTCTTCTACACTGCCACTGGAGCCAATTAGAAAGACAACCAGAAAATGGCCAAACTAGTGAGGGAAGAGTTGATAAGAGTATCTTTTCCTGCCATATGTAACACCCCCTTCTATACCCCCAAATAAATAATAAATTATTTAAGCACATATTAAAATTTCATCAGAGTATAATTAAAATATGGTACAAAAGAGGTATGTAACATCACACACAAAATTGAAACATACGACACTTGCTCTATAAAAGACATGCAACAGTGGGGTAGCTTCAACAGAGAGACTTAGTCCTTACACCCACATCTCAATATTTAGAATTAAAAGCGGAAAATCTAAACATTGAATCATTTAAACATGTAATCATATAAATACATATCATCCAGTTTGATTCACCACATCAATCATGTTTACATAAGCATTTGTCAGCAAATACATAAACAAAATGTATCCCAAAAGAATACTATACAATCCTAACTACCA